TATGAACAAAATTACAAAGCTACTAACGTCACACCCCTGAGAGTGGTGGAGAACAATATGATAAGAGTGTTCCATAAGATTATATGCTAAAATGTTTGACTAATTGTTCTTACTAACTAATCTCCTAGCGGAAAATTTAAAAAATTAGTCGACCCTATCATATAACTGACGTTCCAGTTGCATTTTATTCACGCTGTTTTTTATTTGCGTTAACTATCAGTAAAACTTGTTTTTGTCAAGACAAGCGACGCTTGTACACAGACTTGTATTTTTTTAAATATTTTTTATACTTGCATGCTTTTTAAACATAATGTTGTAGTGCTGTCTCTGTTCAAGTAGCCGAGAATTAGGAAGGCTGTAGTTAGAAAGAGTATCGAATGAACAGAAGACTAGATAGGGAAAACAAAGAAGAAGAGGTTTATTAAATACTCATACATAGGAGTTCAAAATAGCCGAGAATTAGGAAGTCCTTATTTAGAGAGAGTATCGAAGGATCAGAATACTAGGTAAAGGAAACAAAGAAGAGGAGGCTTATTAAATACTCATACATAGATCGGAAAGACTTAATACTCCTCTGATGTAGCTACTAACCATATTTATAGGTAGGAGCAGTCCATTGTCACAGTAGTAGGGAAGAACAGGGAGTACGTTAAGTCCTACTCTATAACACATATCTTGAAGACATACATACTGTCAAAATATTTTTAAACACTCTTTTCTTTTCTTAAATTGTATTGTTCTCCAAGTGTCCTTAAACACTGGAAGATTTACGTCAATCATTTCGTTTAATAATAATAATAATAAAAGCCATCCGCCCAGACATTGTTATTAGAGACCACAAACAAAAACAGTGCCTCCTTATTGATATGGCAGTCCCTGCAGACTGCTATGTATCTTTGAAGATATTCAAAAAGCTGTCAAAATACAAGGACCTTGAAATAGAAATCTCGAAAATGTGGCATATGGGAACATCAACAATCCCTGTTGTAGTTGGACCCCTAGGACTGGTTGGAAAAGATTCCAGTAGACTAATTGAAGGGATTCCTGGAAGTCCATGCCTCAAAGAGATACAAAAAAATTGTTCTGACAAGTACAGCCCACACTTTACGAAGGGCTTTATCTATGTAATTTTTTTTTTTTTGTCAGTGGAAAGTGTCATGATGCCATTTCTAACCTTAGGTCCCTGGGCGGGACCCGGAAAGAAATGTGTAAGCGCCAGAAATCAAAGAAAAAAATAATTATCCATTTAAATTCTTAACTTTGGTATTACTAGTGATCCTGCTACTAATGATTCTTGCAGAATTAGTAATAAGAAGAGGAGGAAGGAGAAAAGAAAGAGGAAGAATCAAAGGCTAATAAATAACCTTACCTCATTTCAGGAATTATTTGTATAATTGAACTCTTTTTATTTCTTTTGGCATGACCACATTTTGGCCGATCGATTTTAAGACCATATTTAAGTGTAAAATCCATGTATGAAGGTGTAGGGAGGTATTTCTTTTCTTTTTGGGTCGTCAAAACAGACAAAGGTAGCAAAGAAAAACGCTACCTGAATTAAATAATTTTATTTTCTTATTCTCATTTAAATTTGTGAACGAGTAACAACAACAATAGTAATAATAATAATAATGAATAAAAAGCAATAATAAATAAATCACCTTATTAAATATTTAATATATCAATAATAATAATGATAAATAAATAGAAAACATAACAATAAAAATCAATAATAATAATGAATAAAAATAATAACAAAAAGTAATAAGAATAACAATAATACATAAGATTGTTTTAATGAGTCATATAGAAAAAAACTTTCAATGTAATATGCGCAATAACTTCTTAAGAAAACTTTTAATTTACCTTTCAGCTTTCCGATGAAAGAATTGGGAAATGAATGGACCAAATAGCAAATCAAGAGAAAGAATAATAATATGCAATCCCAACATTCTCCGAGGAAAGCAGACGAGAAGAAAGGACTTGAAATAAAACAAGGACCTTACTGATCATAAATCCCCTGTTAAATGAACCGAACATAATGAGAATACTGGACTTTTAATAAGGTCTTGTGTCAGAGGAATTTTTGTGATACTCAGTCAAAAAAAATAAATTGAATAGGAACAACAATTACAACGATGAAGAGGTTAACAATAACAAAAAATCATTTAACAACAACAATTATAACAATAATAATAATAATAAAAGTAATAAATAATAATAATAATAAAATTAATAATAATAATAAAAGCAATAATAATAATAAAATAAATAATAATAATATAAGTAAGAATAATAAAATTAATAATAATAATAAAAGCAATAATAATAATAAAAGGAATAATAATAATAAAAGGGATAATAAAAATAATAATAAAAATATTAATAATAATAATAATAAAAGTAATAATAATAATAAAAGTATTAATAATAATAATAAAGTTATAATAATAGTAATAATAATAAGTTATATTAATAGTAATAATAATAAAATAATAGTAGTGATAATAATAATAAAAATAATAAAATAAAAATGTAATAACAGTAATAATGATAAAAGTATTAATACAAATAATAATAATAATAATAATAATAATAATAATAATAATAATAATAATAAAAGTAATAATATGCAGAATGAACCAATTCCTGGTCTCACTAAAATATATGAATATAAAACATCATAGTTATGTCTAAGTCTTGATAAAGTTCCAAAAGGTCTCCGAATCCTTGTTTGAGAAGAATTATTTTCCACTTTCGAATCTCGCTTTCTCACAGATAGGATTTGGCGAGCCTCTCTTTTCTCTATTTCTATTAACAAGGAAATTACTTGGATGAACTTCATTCCCTGGTTTCCCCCAGGTCTAACCTTCACGACCACGTCATTGACATTGTGGCAAAGCACATATATTCCCTCAGTGAGAAGGAAAGTTCCACTCGAACAAATTCTTCTCAATGTCCTGTGGAACAGATCTTCAAGAGGTTATCTCCCCGATCACTATAATCTTAACCTGTTCAAGTTTAGAGTTAACCCTTATCGTCTCCTCCTATCCATATAAACTACCCCTTACCGTAAGTCTCTACCTCGAGTGCCCCCCGGGCATTGTACATGGTGAATCTTACTGTAAAAACAATTCCCACATGTTGCATAGATTTAGCTCCATGTAGTGACCATTTTTCTCTCTGATTGCAAGTAACCTCATCTGTTTAGATCTTATATATAAAACTTTTGGCCCTATACTTTCAGCCTTGTACCACATCTAAGCTATGCTTAGAGGACCACCATAAACCTTGTTTCTTGAAGTCTCTGCTTGAGACCTGGAACCAAAAAGCTCAGGCAAATCAGAAAAATGATAATAATAATAATAATAATAGTGTCGAAATATTGTTTGACATTGTCAAACACTGTTTTTTTCTTTTCGTTTTTCTTTCCTTAAATCGCGCTCGTCTTTTAACTGTTTAATAATAAAAATAATAACGACATTTATAACAGTTGTTATAGGAATGCTGGGAAGGGTCCTGAAGAACAGAGGGAAAAAGACGTAATGTGAAAACTAGTGAAAGAGTCGGGACCATCCAAAGGAGAGCATTACTAAAAACGGGGTACGAAGAAGAGTTCTGGAATATTGTATCACTTTATCTCCTTTGTAATCTACCAGTGACTACTGGTGTCAAAACTCAACAAGTTAATAATAATAATGATAATAATAAGTACATTCCCACACCTTACGAAGGGCATTATCTATGTAAAAAACTACTCGGTGGAAAATGTTATAAGGCCATTTCCGGAAATCAAAGGAAATAAAACAACAACAACAATAATGATAATAATAGTAATAATAATAAAAATAATAATAAAAACAATAATAAAAGTAATAATAATCCAAACAGATCGCGTCCTTGAGGCAATCAACAAAATGCCAAGCAAAACAATAAAGTGCCTCCTCACTGACGACGTTGCTGTTCCCGACGGCCATAATATCAAAGGTCGAAGCATAAGAAATGCACCGACCTCCGGATGAAGTTGACAGGATGCAAGGCGTTCAGGCCACTAATGTCCCAGTTATCACTGGGGCGTTGCGGTCTATACACCTAAAATGCTACAGTGAGAAAATCAGAATAATATGGCTTAGTATACTTTCGCTTCAGAAGTTTACGTTGCTTGGCGGTGTAAATATTCTACTCTCTGTCTGAGCTCGTACGACTTGATGGAGAACATCCATAAGGCAAGATCTTCACTTAAAAAAAAAAAAAAAAAAAAACGTCGAAAGAAAAGTAATAATAATAATAATATATAGCAAAAATAGACATAAATGTACAGGAATAACGATCGACAAGAGACAGTTGGAAATATAAATATTTCATTTCACAAAGAAGAAAAAGTGTCAGAAAATAAAAGCAAACAACGAAGCTAAAATTTTGTCGGACTTTAAAAAATTCAATTGGATCATTTAAGAATTTAAACCACCTTGACAACAGTATTATTAAAATCCGAAAGAATACCGAGGAAGGTTCTGGAGAATTTACTATATTTTTGTCACATTGTCTCCAGTGAGAATCATGTCAGATAAAACAGGTGTAAAAACTCAACAATTGCTTCAACAACAATAAAAGTAGTTGTAATACTTACAATCATATTAATAGTAGCTAAAGTACTAATAATCGATATGGTCATCATCATAGTAGTAGAATTAACTATATATGTTGAATAATAGTTGCTTGATTGCTTTTGTTTAGCGGCATATCAACACCTCTATGGGTTATTTAATACTGAAATGTAAATATTTTATACGTAATTTTTATTTTATCTTTTGGAAATAATAAATGGTTTAATGATACGAGCCTTACTAATAAATCTATACTTGATGGAGGAGTAGTGGATTCATAACTTTCGTAAGGGTTTTGGCGCGTAAATGAATCTAACGAACCCAACTGGAATTGGAACTCTGCCCCCCGATGAACAATTCCGCGTCATTATATATTATACCATCCACGCATCCAAGCTTACGGCATCTGGTATTCCCAAGCGGTCACCCATCTGGGTACTGACCTGGATCGACGTTGCTTAACTTCGATGATGGTACGGGATTAAGGTGTTTCAACGTGATGTGGCAGGAGAAATGCTGAGAGCAGACAGAAAGGCATTATTGACTGCCATACCGTAATACTATGAAGTTTACCATTAGAATATCGTAACACTTATGCAAAAGAAAAACCATCGAGTATAACACCCAATAAGTTTTATAAAAAAGACAAACCATAATAATATTCTTCTTATAATTGTGCTTCTCCATCTCTTTGATTGTTGGCACGACCGTTATGTCCGGCCAATACCTCATAAATAATGGACTATTACGTTTTGATAGCGTGGAAAATCAAAAGACATATCAAAGACGCTACTTAGTTTCAGTGACAAATTGAAAGAAAAAAGGGAAGATAGAAATGTCTGTTTCAATGAAAATGTCTATTTCAGTGAAATGAAAAAAGTTGTGAATTTCAAATCTTTTTATTTGTACCCCTTTACTTCTTAAAATAACGACCAGATTTCATATTTATGATTATTATTGAAATATTTTGTTATTAAACTTGGTAAGCTGAACTATTTAACGATGCGATAGGGGAATTTCTACGGATATTTTATTGTCATAGAACTCACAATACCTACTCAATAACTTAAGAATTAAGATTCATCAAAAAATTCAAATAAAAAAACGTGAAATTTTCCCGAGTTAAAACTAGTAATAATAAATACCTTGATGCCACTTGGTATGACTCACATGTTTTTTGATCTTAATTGATTGGAGGTGTTAACATGTACATCTTTTGTATTGGTGAATTAAAATAAACTACAGCAAATATCTGTTCAGTACCAGATATTTGTTTCTCAGTTGCCTGATCTTAACCAGTTGGCCTAATGCATTAATTTTTTTTTTCGAGAGCAGGAGTAATGGAGGAGCAGCAAGATTGGGTGTCGAGAGGGTTGTTGTTTTCTAAATTTGAAAAATAAACCAGCCAAAGAGAGACGTGCCAGTCACACTTCGATATTTGGGAATACCGTCAACTGGAAACTGTGTCTCTGCCGATTTGAATATATTTTCTAATTGAACACGACCTCTACTGATTTATGCTGTTTGCATCAAAATGTATCTTGAGTACATTTGGCTAGAATGCATTTGCTTGGTCACTTTGTTGATCGATTGCTCCTCTTATTTAATAATAAATGCGAATGTCAGTGTGTCAGTGTGTCACAGTTTTTCAACCTTAACTCGTAGAGGCCGTAGCCCAACAGATGATACCATTTTGGAATCAGGCCGAGACTCTGTGAGCAAATTAAAAACATTTCGGACCAGATCCAGAGCCGCAATCCTGAAATTTTCGATTCCCAATTTTTCATTACTGCAATTGTTTTTGGCGTTTTTTTTTTTTTTACGTGATTTTTGCGACGAATTTTTTTTGTACGATAACAATTTTTATAACTTGGAAATAAATTTGGGAATAATCGAAATTAATTGCGAAATGCAGTTAAAGTCCCTCATGAAATAAAAATAATTGTTTGTACGGGAAGTAAGGACCTACGTACATCAAATTGTCTTTAAAATAAGTGGTGGCAAAAGAATTATCATTCTTCTATAGTTTATTGTTGCCTATCGCATCTAATTCTCTCTAGCTACTGCGATGAAGGCCAAATTAAGAGCCCCCCACAGGAGCTAGATTAAATGCCATCCTATTGGGTGCCTTTTAAGCTAGTATTTATTATTATTAATAATAATAATAATAAAACACTAAGAGCGCAATTTAAGAAAAGAAGAAGAAAACACAGTATGTCTGTTTTCTTCAAGTTATGTTTAAAAATTATAAAAATATAACAAGTCTACAAAAAATGACAAGTCGTTCTACAAATGTTGCTTGTCACGACAAAAATAAAAGGTTGTACTGGAAGTCAACACGTCAAAAAGAATATAACGCAGACAGAGTGAATGAAATGCAACTGAAACGTAAGTACACATGGCACAGTGGATAAAGGCGTTGGTTAGATCCAGTGACAGACCCAAAGAGTGTGAGTTCAATACCCGGTTAAGGTAGTGGAGAACTTTCAGAGGGAAATTAACAGGAGATAACTGATAACTGACATCCATCAAACATGGCACGTGGAACTAGAACAGTCTACCCCAGTGATCGAAATAAAGGGTTCAGTTCGAAATTCCAACCACCTGAAGAAGGCCGGAGCGTACAACGGCCGAAACGTTGTGACAAATATGGCGACAAAGATGAGGACAATAGTCCGACTAATGTAAATAATGTACATCTCAGAAATATAGACAGACCTTGATATCAGTTTTCAAAGGTTTCGTGAAGTAAACCTGAGGTCTTTTAGCTTGAAGACGATGAAGATTGGAACGTTAATGTCGACAAGACTTTTCTTCGCAAGTAGTTTTACAGGGTAATTGTTCTGATGAACTTTCCTCGATGCTACCTAGATGACAAGAATTTAAGCACAGAACTAAATTGACAACACGGTTTCATCAATATCATTGTTGAATTGGCTTGGTGTAAGTTCAATATTAACATCTTCTTTTCATGCACTTCTAACGTCTCCAATTATCCGTAAGGTTCTAAATTGACAGCTTTCATTTTCTTCTGGACTGACTACCATCTGAAGCGAGCGAACCCAATATGCCCTGTTATTTTGCCCATGAAATGGATTCATGCCTTTTCCAATGGCATCTCTACGAAATGAACTTGGTAGTCTTGAACAACAATTATGAATTCAAAATCAGTCACATTCGCACCGCCGTAACGTAGCATCCCTGTGCCTTTTCTATAAATACTTTCATGGTAATTGTTCTGATCAACTTTCCTCTATGCTACCTAGATTACAAGAATTAAAGCAAAGTACTAAATTGGCGGTACGGTCTCGTCATTTTACAGTTGAAATGGTTAGATGGTAACCGTAAGTTCTATGCTAAAAGTTTCTTCTATCGTACCTCTCGATCGTGGAACTCTTTTAAGGCTTCCAACTTTCCAGTCAACATTGATCTTCAAAAATTTAAATGCAATGTCAATCGTTATCATCTGTCTTCTTAATTCTTGTTCTTTTAATATTCTCTCTCTTTAATAGTTTTTTCTCATATTTTCTAACAGTCAGTAACCTCTTGCATCTTAGTAGCTTTATTGCCTTACTTGGGATGAAATGATTTTAAAAAAATCTCATGCTCTTTTTCCATACAATTTAATCGTATGTTACTGATGCCGATCCTTTCTATCAAACTGCGTAGAAAACTAAGACTTTGATGTTATTTCCAGGTTTTTCCAAGGAAACTTGAAGGATTGGCATTAACATCTTAACCAGCAGGGGGTGCCACACAAAATTTGATGAAGTTAAGCGCAGTACTAGATTGGCAGTTAGGCTTCATTATTTTACAGTTGAAAGGGTAAGATTAAACCGTAAGTTCTATGCTAACAGTTTCTTCTCTAGCGCTTCTCGCTTATAGAACTCTCTTCCGTCTTCTTGCTCTCCAGTCAAGTTTGATCTTCAAAAATTTAAATGCAATGTCAATCGTTATCTTCTGTCTTCTTAGTGCCTCTTCTTTTATTCTTTTCTCTCCTTAATAATGTTTTCTTTTCTTCTTTTTTTTTAAATTCCTACAGTCAGTGACCGTTTGCGTCTTACTGCTTTGCTTGGGATGAAATGATTAAAAACAAAGAAAAGAAAATGATTGAATTCTATTTTTCCGTTAAACAGTAATAAAAGAATAAATGAAAGTGTGTGCAAGAAGCACCGGCTTTATAACAACAATACAACAAAAAGACTCTATAAGGAGAATCCTTTTCATTTTTTTAAACTTTCACAAAGAATATTCAATTCATGAGACTAAACATAACGCATATAAATGTATATACATTTAAGATAAATACATATATCTATACACTGTATTCTTTCAAAAAAAGAATAAATATATATATATATATATCTATATATAGCTGTATATATTAAAGAATCGCAAATATATATACATATAAATCTATACTCATTCACAAAGCACATTTTAAAACATAAGTTTTTATATATGTATGTATACATATATATGTGTGTGATAAAATTTGATTACGTTCTTGAGTGATGTACAACAATATTGTATATAAGAAATAAACTTATATATATGTATACAAAAGAGATGCACTTATATATATAATTAGTATCAATATATATATATATATATATATATATATATATATATATATATATATATATATATATATAAAAATATGTACCAGTAAATAGTATAGATAAACAACAATATTTTACAATATAAATAATTACCGCTGACACACAAAAAATTAACCTGAGTGTCAGTAAATACGGACAAAGCCGATGTGTTTTAATTTTTTTTGATTATATATATATATATATATATATATATATATAATTTTTTTAAAATCTTTTATGTTCATAAAGTTAATAAAAATCAAAATTGGACCAACCCGTTTGCTTCAACCAGTCATGTTATAATCAATATTGGATATTTAAACGCAAAATATGATTTGCTGTTATTGTTGTTGTTGTTGTGGTGTTGGCGTTGATCTTGAAGAACTGGCTGTCTATTCTCGAACCTATTTGCTCTACTGAAATTCTTGCCTTCATCAACGTTATAATTAACGATATATTTGATATATATATGCTAGTTTACAATTGATCCCTTGGTCGATTTTACTGCTTTTAAACAACAATTTACTATGATTTCCCTCGAGCGATCATATCTGCTCGAAGCGTAACTATAATAATAATAATAATATATAAAATAACGTATAACAATAAAATATCTTAAAATATTTGTCGGACTTTGTCCATTTCTTATTGTGTGATTAAGTTGACAATTCTTATCGAAGGTCAACTTAATGTTCTGCGTGTTTAGCTCGTCAAGATCCAGACAAAGATATTGTATACTGAGCAAACTATGTTATTATTATTGTTGTCGATATCTATTGAGCATTGTTATTGACAAAACTCTGCTCACATTGACACACGTTAAATAGAATAATTTTACTTGTGTCAATAGGTATTATTATTATTTTTTATTATTATTATTATTATTTAAAATAACTGTCTG